ATCCTGGGTGGAAAGAAGATCCTTGCTCTATTTTGTCTTAGTCCCCAGTTCCCTGACCAGGGTTTCAAGACTCTTGGGGCCTCTGGAGCCTTTCTGGACGTGAATAAGGGGAGCGGTGGCCAGGTCCCCAGGCAGCAACCTGAGTGAACAGACAATCGGAACTTTCAGTCCCACCTGCCCAGGGCTGGCAACTGAGCTCATTACCAACGAATGGCTGGTGCTTTCACCAATCCTGCCTGTGTCGTGGAATCTACAAAAACTCCCTCAACGACAACTTGGGGAGACCCCAGCTGGCGAATGCATGCACTGCATCCAAGTTGGGGTGGGGCGGGCAGTGCCTGACTCTGAGGACAGAAGCTCCTGTGCTTGGGACTCTCGGATCGCAACCCGTGTCTGTCCATTCATCTCTATCCTTTATCACATCTTTTCTAGCACAGTTATTATCAGTAACTATAACACAACATGCTGGGTGTGGTGGTGCAAACATAATCTCAGCACTTGGGAGGCCGAAGCAGGAGAATGGTCTCGAGTTCAAGGCCAGTCTGGGCTACATAATGAGCTCAAAGTTAGCCTGAACTACATAGTGACACCCTGTCTCAAAAAAACAAAAACAAACAAAACAAAACGAAACACAGTACATGGTTTTTCTCTGAGTTCTGTGAGTCATTACAGCAAACACTGAACTAAGGAGGTTTTGAGGGTTTGTTGGAATCCCCAGGTATGGCCGAGTCAGCCAGAAGTGTGGGTACCTGGGGACTCATCTGAAGTGGGGGCATGTTGTGAGATTGAGCTTTTCTCCTGTGGGGTGTGGATTCTTAGTGTCAGCCTGAATTAAATGGTAGGACAGCCCCTTGCTGTCCACAGACTGGTGTGGAAAGCCGGCACATGTGGTGCCAGAAGTCCCTAGTGTGAACAGTTTTCCTTTAACTACCCGTTAGTTTCCAGAGTGACCCTAAAACTGACTGCCTGGACACACACACACACACACACACACACACACACACACACACTTTTCCCAATTTAGCTTAAACAATCAGCACACCTCATCTCGAATGTTGCCACACACACCCTTGATGATAAGCTCATTTTCGGGTGCCGGGAACACAGGAATATCTGGTACCGAAAGCGAAGACAGTCCGCAGACACCTGCACGGCAGAAGGTGGAGGGGGTGCAGGAGAGTAGATGTCTATGACTATTCACCAAGCGGACTCTCATGTGGCTGGAGGCAGTGCAGAAAGACACCACGGGGAGAAGGTGAGGAGGGAACCAACACCAGGCCTCACCCCAGCATGCCGTCCCAACCCCGTACCAGGCAACGGTGCCCATTTTATGCATGAGAATCTGAGGTGCAGAAACACCCTATGCCCAAGGCCACACAGTTGGTGGAAAGCTCTGCAATCACTTTGCTTGACTCGAAACCTATGCGATTTCCACCCATGTCAAGCGATGTTCTGCGGTGCCCTGTGGTGGACTGGGGCAGGGGCGTCAGAGGAAGCCTAAGCGGGTGGGGATCGAGTCCCTGCTCCAATTTTACACCCAACAGCTGCACTTTCCAAACATATGAAGATGTGATCAAAAAATATAATGAATGTTTAAAAATTTTATTACAGTAAAAGATTCACAGCCACTTCTTCCCCTGAAAATATTCCCCCTTGCTTTGAGCACACACCCCAACGGTCTCGCCACTTTCAGAAGCCATTCTGGTAGTCCTCTTTCATCAGTGTCTTTAGTTGCCCTGTCCTGGCTACTTCTATGCCTGAATCAATTCAAAACATTTATCTGTCAAGGTCATTTGACTTTGGGGAAAAGCCAGAAGTTGCACGGTGCCAGATCCAGTGAGTAAGACAGATGAGGACACACCATAACCCTTTTATTTGACAGCAATTGCCATAAAACGTTTGATCAGTGAGGAGGATTGAAAAATACAGTGAAGGTCTAAATGAAACTGATTACAATAAAAGCTACATTGCCATTAATTCCTCTCAAAATACCATCCCCTTACTTTGAACACACTTAGCCAGGTGTTCTTGGCAACGTGTCTCTCACTGTCATAAGGTTTTAAAAATTTAAGCATTTACCATCTGTTTTCATCACCCCTTGTATTTACAGATAGGGGTTCCCTGCAGAGAGGCAGTGGGGGACAGTGGCTAAGCTCTCACTGTCATGAAGTTGCCTGTGCTCAAAATCAGACTCTACATCCACTGGCTTTGGAGCCTCGGAGCAAGGGACAGAGCCTCCCAGGCCTCAGCTTCTTCAATTTTAAAATGGACATAATATCGATGCCCGCTTTATAGGAATGTCAGAGGATGGCACACTCAAGGTATGGAAGGCACATGGCACAGCCTGGCATTTAACACAGTGGCATGCTCATTAACTCACAAGGCTCATCAGTCAAGGCAAAGACAGCAAAAAATAAATACTGCTATGGACTGAATCCTGTGCCTCCCCCAGATTCACAGGCTGAATCCTCAGTCCCCAATGTGGCAGAGGAGGCTCTGAGGAGGTAGCTGCATCATGACAGTAGAGCCCTCAAGGGTGGGACTGCTGCCTTTAGAAGAGGCCCCAGAAGGCCACCTTGCCCTCTTTCTACCCCAAGAGGACGCAGTAGGAAGCTGGCCATCTGTGACCAGGAAGGGGGCCCCAGCAGGACCCACCACGCCGGCACCCTGGCTCTCAGACTTGCAGCCTCCAGAACTGTGAGAAATACATTTCTGTTGTTCCTCAGCATCCCAGTCTGTGGTTTTCTGGTACAGCAGCCAGAACTAAGACACTCACGAAGCTGCAGGAGAATTCTTAGAGTGACCTCCAGACACCCCTCTGGAAGAGCTGCGCTGGTCAGAGCTCCGCCTCGTACTTCCTCCCAGCCCTGCTAAACATGGCTTTTTTATTATCAGAATGCATACCTGCAAGACGAGAGGGGCTTCCGTCTCTATGGGCAGCGCCACGGCTACAGCCCCATTGCTGCTTATCGCTGGCTCAGCAAGAAGTTCAGTGCAGAGCGGCTTCCCGTGATGAGGTCAGTAACCCCAAAGCCCCAAACTAATTTGCTTCCACTGCTTAGAGCAGGTGGCTGCAAAGCCACTGGCTCTCCGCTAAGCTGAGGCTTGGCTCTTGCACCAAAAGCACTGGGGCAGAAGGAAGCATTGGCAGCAGCCATGCCAGCAGCCTAGCAGCTCCTCTGCTGGGCACACGCCACAGGGCAGTAAGGCCACGGGTCCTCCATCAAAACTGCCGCCAAACCAGGTTCCCAGGCAAGGTCTGCATGGCTTACAGTAGAACATGAGCCATATGTGTGCTAGGACTTTGACTTGTTTTGTTCCCTGCTGTACCCAGGACCCAGGACAGCCTGAGACTTGGGGAGGAAGATGGCACCTGTGACCCAGCACCGGTCTGTTTCAGAACACAAAGAGCAGCCAGGCCTGGGGCTCCCACATTCCCCAAATGAGGGCCTGGTGGGGTGGCACTTTCTTGACATTGCTCTGCTTTGGATTCCCCACCTGTCACCTCAGATGGTGGCACCATCCCCAAGGCCTCTGATGGTTTCCCCATGGAGAGGTTCTCTCTCCCAGGCAGAAGAGAGTCCATTTGCTTCTGAGCAGTGAGTAAGAAGGTCAGCTCATGCCCAGGTCATGGATTACCCCTTCCACACTTCCGCTGCCAGAGTTGAAAATGTTAGAGCCAGATGCATCCACAAAGTCATACCGCCTCCAGGAAGGGACCAGGGGGTCAAAACCCAGACGTTAGCCAAGTAGCCCAGGGACACAGAACTGGACCCTGCCTCTCACCAGCAACTGACCTTTTCTGACCAACTGGCCAGAAAATCTTGGACTAGCTCACAAAGAGCCTGGATTTTCTTTCTACACACCACAGGCACAAACATACCTGTAGTAATTACACAGAGACAGATTTTCTGTACACGGAGGTATGTACATATCACTTACAAATATACACATATTCACAAATGCAGTTAGTATATATACACACTATTCTGTAGTCCCAAACACATTTATTTCTTTTGTTTTATGCCTGTTTATTATAGCATAATAAATAGGCTTGTGTGGGAAAGTTAGAAATACAGTGAGACATTTTGTAATTCGCAAAAGCACATTCAATATTATAATTGCTTTGATTTTTTTTTAGGTACAGTATTGAATGTGCTTTGAAACTTTAGCAGTGAAGCAGAACATTCAGGTTTTACTCATCAAAAGGAGCTGAAATGAAATGATTGGGAAATACTGTCCTGGACTTTCAGCATATGACAGTGTTGGAAACAGTCTGGCCCAACTCCCCATTAAAGATAAGGGAACGTCCACCCAGGGCAATTAAGTGATTTCCTGTCTAGAGTCAGGGAGCTGTTGATTCATTCCAGAGGGGAGCAGCCACGTGGACTTATCTGTTGTTATGTCCACCGCATCTGCGCTGGATGGAGTCCAGGATAGCTGCTGACCAAGTGTAGGAATTTATCACAGTGAGGACGCTCAGCTACAGAGGAAAGGTGAATTCCCAAACACACCTGGATTTTTAAATTGTTGTTTTATTTTAAACAAGGGATCTCTTGGAAAAAGACAAGTGGAACCTGTGGTCCGGCCTGCATGGTGTTTCCTGGGGGCAGCATCCAATGACCCACATGCTGGGCCTCCTTTACTTCCAGAGCCCCTTGGCTAACTCTGGGTCCCATTTCAGGGGGAGAAATTTCAGGCTGGAGGAGTAATTCCTCTCCTCCTCTTGGTTACCTGAAGAGGCCATCATCATGTTGGGTGGATGCTTTCAGTTTGATCCCCATCTACCAAGACAAGTCCCTGGCTCTCTCTCACTTGTGACAGGACCAGAGTTTGAGCAGGACTACAGCTCCTAAAACAGTCACCCTGCAAGCTGAGGCAGCAGCCCCAGGAAGTCTGCCCACAGCCTTGGGCTAAGGCAGACCCAGGGTGACCCTGCTGGTGACTATTCCCCGAGTGGCCACTGCCAATGTGTCTGCCAAATGTAGGAGTCCACTTACCGCAGTGCGACTGGAAAACCTGTGGCTTGACGACCTGATTACAGGCACTGCACACTACGAGATAGAAGTCGTCATGTGCTGGGTAATGGCCAAATAAGTGCATATCTGTGGGGAAATGAAAACAGTGTTTTTTGAAAAAGCAGTTAAGTCTCAGAAAGTGTACAGTTTCCTCTTGGAATTTCTTCAAGGACAGTTTTTCAAACAAGACACGCAGAAAGGCAATCACCTTTGCTAAAAGGAATGAAGTTTCCTCAACTTTCAAAGAAGCAATTGCCTCAAAGAAACCTTCCTCATTTCACCCCAGAAATGGACCGTGTGGCGGCTGATTGGGTCAGTAGTGTTGGGGCTGCCCCCGACACACTATAGGAACAGCCCTGCCTGGAGATGGAGCTGGGCAGGGGCCCCCACAAACCTATGCCCATTGCCAGTGGCTCCCCAGGTGAGTGAGAGAACAGGGCTGGGGCTGAGAGAGGAGCCAGCTTGGCCTCACAATCGCCTGAGTATCCTTGTCACCAAGGGAGACACAAGGCCCCAGGAATCCTCTGGATAAGTGGCCTGTTTGCTGTCACCATAGTGACATAATGATTCACCTGGTAAATACGTACTGAGTGCCCAAGTGTGCCAGCCTCTGTGCTAGGCACCTGGGAAAACCGGGGAACCAGAACAAGGTCTCTGCTCTCCTGGAGCCTAAGGCAGCAGAAGTGGAAACACAAAACACACACAATCACACCTGTCACTGGTGGTGACGGTGGTGGGTGCTGAGGAGGTGATGGGTTGGGGCCAGCCTCGTGTGAGTGTCAGGGAATGCGGAGGGGACACGCTGGCTGCGGCCTCAGGATGAGGAGGAGTGAGGAAATGTAAAGGTGAAGCCAAGGAAGGAGCTTGTATGTCTTGGAGGAGCCCCTGGTCTCTGGGGTGGAACAGAGCAAGGGAAGCACAGCAGGGTGCCAGCAGGGTAAGGCTGGGGAGGGCCTCCAAAGTGAGGATTTTAAAGCAAAAAAGTAACGTGTGACTGGAGATACTGTCAAAAGATCAGTTAGGTGGCCCGCACCTGAGAGACACAAATGCATGTCTCATATGAAACCTGTGAAGTGTCATTCCTGATAACTAGTAAGTCAACACAATCCAAATGCCCAGCCACCAATAATGCAGACACAAAACGTGTCATAGCCACAAAATGAGAATACTATTCCAGAATACTGTTTTTATCTCACTGGAGAGCTTGCCTCTTCCCACTTCCACTTCTAGGGCCTACACCCACCATCTGCCTGCCTGGGGGTGACCGAAGGGACACTGTTAGTTGGTGTCTGGGAGGTGCGGAGGTCTATGGCACTGAGGTGAGAGAACACTAAGCTGGGATAAGATGGAGGAGGCTGGTGCTGGGCCTGCCTTACCCATGGGCCTGTTACAGGAGCCTCCTCCAGCAGAGCCTCACAGCAGAGACAGGGTATGTGTATGTGTGTGTGGGAGGGGCACTAGGGATTGAACCCAAGGCCTTGTGCATGGTAGGCAAGCACTCTTCACTCTTTCACTGAGCTACAACCCCAGCCCCCCATCTTTTGGAGACAGGTCCTTGCAAAATTGTCTAAGTGGGCCTCAAACTTTTGATCTTCCTGCCTCTGCCTCCTGAGTAGCAGGCATGACGACACAATGCCCAGTCAACACATCACCTCTTGAGCTTTAACTAATGATACCTTCTTGCTTCCCTCTTTTATTTGCAGGCCGCTTATTCTTATAACATATATTCATTTTTAAAAGAACAAAAATGATCTGTGCTCTTAGAAGATACTTTTGAAAAATACAGAAAAGCAGAAGAAGTTAAACAAAAATTATTGGCAATCTCTATTAACGTTGAGGTTTAAAGTCCCATTTTCTGTTCAGGAACATACAAAAGTAGGAATGTTGAGGGCTAAGACTTATTTTATTCATTCAAGAAGAATATATTGAGCTGCCTTGTATCCCTTCTGTAATAGGCCAGGGTATGAAGGAGCAAAAGAAATGTATTAATTAAAAAAAGATTAAAAAACCCATCCAAATCAAGTATCATTAAAAATTCCTTGAGCACCAACTCTTGAGCTAGGAACTGAGTCCAGTCTCTGCCCTCCACTGTACCTCCCAGAAGAGCTGTCGGGGACACCTCTGGATGCCCCCACTATTCACACACCTGCCATGTTGCAGGTAAAGACTGGGCTAGTCTGCAGCCACTGAGCTCCTTCACTCCCTGGGGCTTTTCTTGGTTTCCCTTTGGGGCAGTTTCCACCTTGTCCCTGTCTGCTCAGAGCATGCCTCCCCCAGGAAGTGACAGGACCTGCCTCCTCAGTGAGTGGACCCTAGGATCTCCTCTACAGTCTGAGGGTCGAGGAGCTGGCAGATAGAGGGCAAGGAGAGGGTGCTCGGCTCTGGAGGACCCTACTTCAAAGACTGCCTGTTCAAGGTCAGCGTGCTGTTTACACGAATTAGTAAGGGCTGAGGATACAGGAGAGATGACAGGGAGAGAGGTCCAACATGCCAAAACCATGCTAGGTGCTCTGCTAATTAATATTCTCTCTCTCCCCTAAGTAAGACATCCAGTGCACAGTTAAAAGCCACAACAGCAAGCTCGTACCAGCTTGTGAGAGAGGCAACTGTGCAGTCCTCACCCCAGATTCAGCGATCGGCCAAGGCGGCAGCACTCACAGCCCGGAAACAGAAAAGCACTACAGACTTGGGCTTTGCTTTGGAGAGCTGGTTCTTAAACATTTACCAGTGCAGCACTGAACACAGACGGGCAAGAAGGGAAAATGCAACCACAGTACCACCACAGCCACCACCACAGAAGGCAATCGCCAGCCTTCCAGCTGTGTGAGCAGTAACACCGTCTTCCGCTTCACAACGAACCTACGGAGCCCACATCTCTGCCTCCTCAGCCAGGGAACAAAGGTAAAGCAATCTGCTAGCGGTCCTGTAGTGGAGATCTGCTGAGCAGGCAGGATGAGGCTCGTGGACACGGACACTCCCTCAGCAACATGGAATTTCTTTAACCCCACAGCAGGATCTCATTCACAGAGGGGAGCACTTTGGAAGACGCTGTGGTCTGTCACTCATGTTGATCTCTGACTGCCGCTGTGACAGTGCCGGAAGAGGTGATTAGAGCTGGGCCTGGTGGCACATGCCTGGGATCCCAAGCCTTTGGGAGGCTCAGGCAGTTGCCTGCCTGGTCCAGGAAGCTCAGTGAGACCCTGTCTCAAAAGAAAAAATAAAGAAATGGCTGGGGATGTGGCTCAGTGCAGAGGCACTGGGTTCAACCCTCAACACAAAACCAAAACAAACCAAAGAAGTGATTAGGTTTTGAAGTGATGAATGCCTTTCTTATGGGAGAAAGCAAAAGCAGGTAAGGTTATAAAGGGAGCTTGCCCTTCATGTTTTTCTTGCCTTTTCCATGTGAACTGTTTGCTCTTCTGCTTTTCCACTGTGGTTATTTGATGTTTTTGAGACAGGGTCTTGCTCCGTATTTCAGCATGGCCTTGATCTCACCATCAGGGCTTGAACTCAAGGCTGCCCTTCTGTTTCAGCCTCCCAAGTGCTAGGATTACACCTGCATGCCTGGCTTCCACAGCACAAGGCCCTTGGCAGAGGCAGCTGCCCAGCCTTGGACTTTCAGCCTTCAGAGCTGTAAGCCAAAATAACCTCTTTCCTTTATAAATCACCCAGTCTCAAACATCCTGTTAGAGCAACAGAAAATGGACTTTTACAGTGGAGTTTCCTGGAGGACTAGTGGCTGTCCTGAGGTTCTTAACGGGGCAGGGGGGGTTGCAGCGTGGACACAGTAGATATTTTGAGGTTGATTCATATCCTAGACAGGGCTTGGGAAGTTTCATCCTGCTACTCAGAATGGTCCATAATTTAAAAACTTATGAGTTGTTTATTTCTAGAATTTTCCATTTAATCTTGAGACTGTGCTTGCCAGCAGGTAACTGAAACCTTGGAAAGCAAAACTGTGGACGGGGGCGCATGGCCACTGTATGACGCCATACATCAGCAGCCACTACACCCCAGAACTTCTTTCCTTGGAGAGTTGGTTGTTACCATGTTAAGCAGGGCACAGCTGACAGGGGGTCCTCCCCCCAAACTCTGCACCTTTTTCCCTGGCTTAATTTCTCCAGCTACAAAACAGGAAACACACATTTACCTTCCATACCAGGCTTGGATGTAGACGTGCTCTTGAGAAATTTGGAGAAAATCATTGCACTAGGATAAAATTACTGTTATGAACCCAAGAACTCGGGCACAGGACAGTCAGGTAAATATGTTGTTCACTTTCAGTGTTGAGAGAGCACACAGCTATAAGCTGTGGTGTGTGTGTGTGTGAAGATCAAGTTCCTGGAGGACCTTCCACTGCCTGTTGACTTAGGCTTACTCATGATAGGGTTTCGAAGAGAGTATTTGCAGAGCAGGATGAGACCAGGGCTGCCATCAATGTACCACCGATAGGATGCTCTTGGGTCCAGTCAAAGCAGGCAGCTCTCTATTTCCCTAACTGGACCTCTGCTACAGTTCTCATTGGTGACGGACATGGCGGTGTCCATATTCTCAACCTAGTCTGTCCACCTGGCTGGCTTTCCGACTCACCTGAGGCTCCTAGAGCCTCTACCTGGCTTGTACCACCCTCCCTCCTGAGACATTCCCTCCCTGGGGGTGGGGGGTGGGGAGGAGGAGAGAGGGGACGAGGCTTTTTCTATGTAGACACACAAGGCCTGGGACAATAGTATTGTTTCTATGAAAGAGAAGCAATAACTCTGATTTCCCAGTGTAGCTGGTAAATTGTTTCTAAAGTCGATACTAAAAAAGAAATTGGCAGAATGGGAGTAGCATTTTATTCAAGATGAACAGCTTTCTAAGGAGAACTCTTGCCAAGCAAAGTCGTATGTGTATAAACTCTAGTTCTATCCAATATTCACTCTTTGAAAATGGCTGTGGTTCAGGAGAGGGCAGGGTGCTACCTCCACTTTATTGTTTGTACAGGACTTGTTTCCAAGATGGGAAGGCAGCCGGTTTTGTGGATTCAAGATCAAACTAGATGCTGTGCGCTTTTGAATTTGCCCCTGGGTGCCTTCCAAAGCTCGAGA